AAAATCTCAATGGCAATTAGACAAATTACTGGTTTGTAAGGCATTACAATTTTATTTTATTTCTCCCTATCAGAACATTTCTAATACATCATTACATAGAAACAAAGTCGCGTTCAAACGACCTACGAAGTACAGCTCATGCTCTCTATTGTTCTGACACATTCTGCGTTTATATCAACGAACTGTAAAGGCATGTACTAAGACAAGAAGATATCACGCCTACTCTACATGTTCATCGTATTGTTCAGCAGAATTCAATCTGTTTGACTTCTCGGAAAAGATATTTGGTATTCTACAAACAAGCAGTTTTTTAATCATGAGAACTGCGAACTTTACGTGTTAATTGTATACGCATTAACACGTAGAACAAGTAGACATTTTTTGACCAAACATTCGTACTGTAGATTTCATCTCAACAAACACAATATAGAATCGATAGAGTGATGTTTTGTTATTAGAATATAAAAGATGAGAGAGACTTAGGAACATGTGCCTGACTTAATAAAATTTGAAAGGTTATCATAGATCCATTACTATTGTACATATTTTCAGTTTACATAAAAGTGAATATTATAGATTTGAAAAATTTATTCTCTAAAAACAAAAATATCTTCTATCTAATACAAATAGGATGAATGTGTTAATATTTTTTGTATAAATTATCAATAAAAATATTTAATACCGGCATAACTGATATCAATACTTCCATCTTGTCATTCATAGGCTGTGAAGAGATCTGTTGCTGATATTATTGACTAATTGAAAGTTGTGAAGATTATATTACCAAAAAAAAAAAGGAAAATGAGCTACATTTTTTTCTACCGATTTCGTGTGGGTGTGAGTGAAAGCACTATTCACATCCACACTTGAGAATATTTTATAGTTGTAATGATCTCAATGAAAGATTGGAGGTAGATAAAGTTATACATAAATAATATGATGAAATAAAGAATAAATCTTAATGAATTGGCTTAATTGATTAGCTCTACGAAACTGTACTTCATTTTTACAAAGAATTTTTCTTAGTTTCGAAGCAACCAATATACTGAAATGTGCTGTACATTCCAATTGAGGAACGAAGAGTGTCATATAGATATTAAGAAATTCACTGAGCTTATAACGAAACAGTCTTATAGAGAACGAAATTCCAAAATTGTTTTTGTTTTTTCAAGTAAGGACTTTTCAACTGTGCTTTAACTCAAAAAATTCATTTCTTAAAAGATTACTATAGGTGATATTTTCAAAAGATTTTCAACTCTCAGGTAACGTTGAATATTAGAAAGTGAACCAGGCAAATATAGGCTATTAGTAAATGACTAAATCTCTTGTATGAATTTGAATGAGAACAAAAATGGCATTGACATTTAATCCGATTCATCATGTCTATTATTAACTAACATATGGTAAAAATGAACAGATGTTCTATGAATAAGTTTTAGGAAAATTTAGCCTACTCTAGTGATAAAATAACGATTTCTCAAAGATTTTAGTTCAATTATAAAATATTGCTTGAAATCTACCACGTAAGTTATGTTATATGAAATAGAGTGCGGGTGGGTGTGATTGAGAGGTGTGGTTGTAGAGGAAAACAATGCTCAAAGCCACAGCCGCACCCCACACCCACACCCTTGTATGCTTCACCGGCTGCATTCTCTATTATTTTAGTTTTCTGTTTGATGATATTCCATACTAGTTCAATAGCGTTAAAACTAGGACTATAACTTGATCATTCACATACTTTAACATTATATTCTTAACTACTGAAACATACAATGATTCACATATCAGTGTTATTCAAAAAAGAATTGAAACTATTCATATCTATCTTCATAGAATTGTTCCAACCATAAACTCTAGACTCTATGCCAAAAATGCCGTTCGCAATATTTTTGTTGAAGGCTGTTTGACCATAACAGAACAGAAAAAAACTATTAGATCATATTTATAAAAAAAATATCCGATGAAAAAGACAAGTAATCATCCTTCTTGGACTCTTTTTGATTTCACTTCATTGATGAATTGTTTGATAAAGAGTTTTTACAAACAACCATTTGATAAAAAAGCAAAGTTAAATTCTAAAGTATTTAGACACACTTAAGATCAAAAAATGAAGTATCATAAATCGATGATTGATAGATAAGTCAGTATAGTGGTATGTAAACTTTCCCATAACGAGACATCTCAAACCGATAACTATGTCAATCAACTTTTCATCATACAGTTTATCTTGAATGAAAATTTCAACACGAACAATTGAAGTGTTGCTTAGTGTTGATATAAATTTTGTTCCGAATAAGCATTATAATCACTTGCTAATATCATCACCTTCACGTCGTGTTTTCTGAATATTTCAATAAAAAAAAGAAAGTTCGATACGAAACTTCGAAACACACACTAGTCGACTCAATCGTTTCTGGTGATTCTAAATATTTTATTGGTTTTTTGACTCAAACTGTACTGTTTTTGATTGAAATCTGTTAAATAAAAGTCTTCAATGCAAAAAAAACTCGCATTAGATAAATTCCAATATTATATTTTTTCGAATCCTCATAATCAATCACAAGCTCAAGTTGTTTTATCTTTTCTCGAAAACATAAAAAACCAGTTAGTAGAAATGATTACGACATTCATTAGAAACAATACTTCTATCAGTACGAAGCAACAGTTCAACTGTTTGAGCTGCAGTTGCCACCAAACATAGACTGTATGATGGATAGTTGATTGATGTAGTAGTTATCGATTCGAGATATTCTACTATGGCAAACTTTGAATGTCTCACTTATCTATTTCTGAATCATCGATTTATGAGGTTCAATAATTTAATTAAAATGAATCTACATGTTTGAAAGATAGTTTCATTTCGTTACCAAACGGTTCTTCATAAAACTCTGCATTCAATAAATTATAAATGAAGAGAAATGAAAACAGGTCTTATTCGTCTCTATTCTTTTTAAAGTACTTAGGTCATATCAAAAGTCTTTACGGAGCTAAATCAATTCCTTATAGAATGCTTGAAAAGTGTGGGCTTGGCGTGTGAGCATAACACATGCTCACACTCAACCGCATCTACACCCACACCCACATTAAAGTCATTATTGACTAATGTTATTGTTACATATCATAGTCATACAAGTCTAATGGAAATTTTATTATTATGACATTAGATGAATAATGATCAAATAGTATAGAAAAGTAAAGCTTTGTTTTTACTATCAGTCTATATAAAAAGAAAAGTTTTTCAAGCACTCTATAAGGAATTGATTTAACTCCGTAAAACACTTTTGGTATGACCTAAGTAATTTCTTCTCATATATATTTCCATCTTTAATTAAATGTCAATTATTTCATCATCATAAGATGTTGATTTGTTCTTCTAAACAATCACATACAAATGACAGAGAAAGTATATGTTTTTCAATAGAAATACATTGTTAATCAAAATAGCTTTATTCAAAGACGATATGGACAAGTTGGTTCATATATCTATTCACTTCCGCATCAATTCGAAAATTTTGTTTTTCTCAACAATTCTTTTCATTTTCAAAATCCCATGTTTAATAAAATTCGATGCTTGACAATGAATATGTTATACACATTCTTTTAAACATTAGTGTTTCAAACTTATCTCTCATAATTTTCCTTTCCTGAAAGAGTTAAATACACTAAAATCACCCTTAGTGGACACTGATTATGAGTTCAAAGAGAATGTCTAGAACATACATAACCTCCTTATAGTGGACACTTTTGAAAAGTCCGAAGGGTGTCTCCTACAGAGAGGTTTTAGTGTACATATCATTTTCAACCACGAGAAAAAAAAGACAAGCAATATTCGTCAACATTAATTATATTCCTTCATCTTATTCTTTTCAATTTAATTTCAGTACATGTTGATTATGCTAAACAATGCTTCTTAGAAAAAAAACATTCATTTATCTTGTTTTGTTAGATCTCTACATCTAAATCATTCGCAATACTAACAAATTATTTTACCAATAAAGTAACATGTCTTCATAGTACTCAATTAAAAAGATTTCATATAAATAAGTCTTTTATTCGATCAAAAAAATTTTTTTTTTCTATTTGAAATTCTTTCAATAAAGAGAAAATTTGTAGTTTTCAAATTAAAATAAAATAACTAGTGCACGACAAAAGTTTCGTTTCACATTGAAAAAAAATTTTGTATATTATCTTGATATATGAGAATAGAGAATGCAACACATACACATACAGAAGAGTTCGAGACATTTATACAACTCATTGTAGTTTTCAGATTGTTTAACAAAGCAAAAATATTTTGAATAATTTGTTGAGAAATTAGATGGATGGTGTAAAATGAATTCGAGTTTAAGTTTTGACCATTCATGTAAAAGGGAAGAGTTTTGGTTATATGCTCTTCTTCAATAGACAATATCAAAAACAGTGAGCATAAAATTTCTGTTTCATTTCATATGACTCATCTTATCTCTCAACAAGTCATCGAAAAATGAATCTATTCAAATAGTTTTGCTTTGCATCATGAAAATAATATAAAAAATTCATTTCGAAAAGGTTTATTTTAAGCTATTGGTTACTTTTTTTAACTTATCTGTATATACATAGATGTCTACAGTAGACTTGGAAAGTAATATAGATTACATCATGAAAAATTATTTATTAAAGAATTTTGAACTAATTTTTTTTATTTATTAATAAGAAATGTTAAATTTAGGTTTTTTTTAAGAGAAAATTAATGTGTTATTGTATTGTTTATTTTTTTAAATATTTCTTCTAGCTATTGGTTTTGTTTTCCTTCTTTCTTTTTTTTTTTTTTATACATAGATTTAAGCTTTTTCTTTTTCTGTCTCACAACCGATAGATGATGAAATAGAAATCATTAAATAAAGTCAATCGAGAAAAAAAAAATAATCATCATAAATCTATCATAGAAAGCAAAGAAAACTAGAAAAAACAAGAATTTAACATTTGAAGAAAATATTTTAATCAATTCTCTATTTTTTCAGATGTCATCAATGGATGAATCTGTTTTATATCATTTAAAAAATTTGAATGATCACAATATAATATCAGTTTACAAAAATCAATTCAAAATTGGTCGTGCTACAAGTAAATTAATTAAATTCTTTATTTAACTAAAAAAAAAAAAAAATTCATAAAAGCACGTTTTTCCAACTAGTTATGATTTTTTTTTCTCCTCATGATACAGTTGCTAAGTGATATAAATTCATAATTCAAATTGATTTCTATTTTTTTTGTCCTTTTCTTATCACAATATATATATATATGTATTTATAGTAGTAAAAATGTAACTATTAATAGTATTAACATGTAACCAGCTGTGTTATTATGTATTGTAATACAGTTATCTTAAGACAAAGGACAATCATCGATAAGAGATTACAATGACATGATCGTCAAAATATTCGTATTCTTAAATTAATTCTATCATAATATTGATTTCCTTTTTTTGAAATTTATATAGAATCATTAAGAACTATAAAAAGAAAGAAATTGATCTAGAACTTTTTATTAATAAAAATCTTAATAATTTTTTTCGTCTTACTTTTAAAATTTTAATTTATATAATAGTTTCATTTCTAGTTGTTTTTTTTTTTTTTGTATTTATTCTAGCAAATGATTTAGCTATTACAAATAATCAATACATATCATCATGTCATTGTACAATTATATATGATAATGGACATGTTTATATACATGATACAAGTTCAAATGGTACATTAATTAATCGATCAAAAAAAATTAATAAAAATGATTCTGTAAATATTTATAATTATATTTAAAAAAAAAGGAAGATTTATCTTTATATTTAGCCAATTGAACTTCATTCAGGTGATATTATTCATCTTGTATTTCGTAAAGATGAATCTCAATCAAGTAAGTTTATTAAATATATAAAAAAAAGGAAAATAATTCATTGAATTTTTTCATTATTTTATTGAGTTTAATTGAATAGTTCATATAATATAATAGTTAAATTATATAATTTTCTTTAGATATTATTTTTCAATTGGATTTATTATTAGTAACTAAATCAAAAAGTCAAATTGAACAAATTTTGAAAAGAAAACATTCTGGTAAGAATATTTTAAAGTTCCTATTATTCTATATGATATTGAACTCATACTTTGGATGTATACGTGCAATAATAGACTCTAACTGCAAGTACTAAGTCGTACCTTTCATCAGTTTAGAAATGAAGGAAAATCATGACTTTACTTTTAATCGTATTACTTAAGGGTGTCGCATGCATGTACTCAAAATATTATAAAGAATAGTAATATTTTTTAGTAGAGATGTGTTAATTTTGTTCAAGATAATGTTTTTTGATTTGATTTAGATACTATATCAAGTCCATCTATGTCAACAAATGGTATGATTTTTTTTTTATGTGTGTAATGAAAAATTAAATAATTTATAATCTTTTATAGATACAAAAGAAAATGTTGAAATGAAACGAATTAAAATAAATGATGAATTAACTACGAAAGTTAGTGATGATATGGAAGATATACTTACATGTGTTTGTTGTCAAGATATAATGACAAATCCAATATGTCTTGAACCATGTTTACATGCTTTTTGTAATGATTGTTATTTGTCATGGGAAGCTATTCAACGTACTTGGTAAATATTATTTAAACAAAAAAATTTTTAAATGCAAAAGTTCTTGAACAAATATATATACTATTTGAGTTAATCTTATCATTGTAAAATTTTGTTGACGTAGTTAAAAGTAAAAATACAAACGTTTTGTTTTTTTTTCCATGAGGAAATGTTTATAAATATGAAGAACTTAATTGGTTCTCAAAAAAAAAGTAATTTTCTAGTCGTAATAGTACGATTAAATGAAGTGAAAAATTTTTTCTGAATAACCTTGAAAATCATTCCCATTACTGATATATGTTGATAAGACTAATGAGAAAGAAGATCTTGTGTAAATAGAACTTGATTTGCTCACAAAAAATATTTCTTCATCGTGTCAGGACCTTAGATGGATATATTTAGAGTAAGTTCTATAAGAAAAATTCAAAGATTTTCTATAACTGGTTTATACAACATAAATATTCTCAAAGCTTCATATTACAAAGAGATTTGATTGAAAATTTTTGAATTGTTTTTATGATTGAGTTCTCTATATGTACAATGTTTTAGATTTAAATTCGAATTACACGACTTGAGATTCCTATAGGAACCTCTAGAATATCTCTGCCTTTCGACTACATTCCGACATGAGGTAGTGTCTAATAACAGATTTAATAATTCGATATCTTTTCTAAAAATAAGACTCTGTAGCTCTGAACAAAAGGTTGGTGTAACCAAAGCTAATTCATATTTAGCTTTGATTAATATTTTTGTAATCAAAATCTACTATTTTCGTAGTACAATCTTAAATAGTGTAATAAGAACTATCTTATAAAACAGAGATCAAAATTGAGTAATAACAAAAAGCATCATGTTGTATAAGATTAAATATGACAGAAAGTTTAACCTATAAGATTTCTATATACGTTATTAAATTGAATGATTATTCGAAAAAAAGTTCTTCCCTTTTTCATTTTCTTTTAACTTTAGAACTATATATAGAAAAACAATCATAGCTAAAAAAAATCCCTCAAAAATCTTTCACGAAAAAGAGAATCCTCTTGAGTACATTTTAACTTAGTATCGGTACTAAGTATTCAATCATACAAAGTTCTTGCACTCAATTACTTAAGCACTTCATACACAATATAGTAACCATAGAAGCAGATGATACTAAAGCTTAAGCATAGTAGTCTTGCAGATACTTGCCGAACAATGTCGTCATCCTTCTAAGGCGATTCTTAGAATTCCGAATTTTTATTATAACACTATGTAAGCTGTATAGATAAAAGGTGATTGAAATCGGAAGGAAGTATCTTAAGAGATTTCCTTATTAGTCTGAAGTATGTTCTTAGCCGCATAGTATTGTTATTAATATTATTTTTTTTACTTTAGTCCAAAATGTCGTGTGAAAGTAACGGATAAAAAAAAGAATGTAGTTATTAATGGTATATTAGAAGCATTCTTCAAAGCATATCCACATAAACGACCGGTATTAAAAGCAATTGATAATAGAAAATGTAAAATAAAAACAACAACTAATACAAATATTGAAGTTTGTCTTTAAAAAAAAAATCAAACAAAGTGATTTTTTATTTTTAAAGATTAAAATTTTTTTTTTAGGTTGGTCGAAATACTACAATTTATTTTAATAATAATGAAGTATTTAAAAAAAAAACATTGTTTTTTTTTTTTTTTTTTTTTCTTAATTTTATATTTTTCTTTCAAGATGGATAATGATTCTATTGATAATGATAAAGATATGTAAGTTTTTGTAATTTCAAAATATATTTATTTAATCATATTTGAATAAAAAGTATTCTTGTAATGAATGCTCCTATATCTAATGTTCAATTAATATGTCGTCAATGTCCAACATATAGTTTGGGTATATTGATTTATTTTTTGATACAAAATTCTAAATGAATAATATTTTATTTTTTTTTTAGATCGTACGATGAATATTATTTCAACTGAATTTCAATGTTGTCCTAGTCAAACTCATATTCTTTGTCAATGTTGTATACAACCAATGCCTGATAGACAAGATGATCCAAATATTCATCAAAGTTGTATGTATATAGAAATTTTTTTATTCTGATTTTTTTTTTGTTATTATTTAGGTGAAATATGTCATCAATATTTTTGTAATATATATTTTCAACAATGTTCACGAAAAAATTGTCTTGGTTGTTTAAATCAATTGCGAAGTATGAAGATCTTGGTTTTTTTTTGATTTATATTTTTAATTTAAGATTTTAATTTTGCACCACGTCATCTTATTAATCTTGTTAATGATAATCCTATTGAATCACAAATTATTCAAGTAAGTTTAGATTTTTTTTTTTTTTTTACAATTAGAAAATTTCTTTACAAAAACAAAATGTCGAAATTAACTTTTGATTTAAATGAAATATTATATAAAGTAAAAATGTTAATGATATACAATCAAAGGTTATATATTAATAACTTCTCCATAACTATTTCCTTGTTGCATGTCTGAAGTATTACGTAAATAGATATGCTTTCTAAAGTATATAGAACAGAAGGTTTCTTGTAATTAGCAAGAGTAATTATATCATGTTTCATATTTTAATCTCAAAAGAATTATGTTAATAGTTTTTGTTTTTTATCTAAAATGAACATATGTCGAAGTTAATGATAGGTTTTTCTTTTAAATAAAAAGAATATTTTCTTAAGAAAAAGATTGGATTTTTATATGATTATCAATGAAATATAATGATACGCATTTAATTCTCTTTATAAAATATTACAAATCATAATCTCATCTATACATTAAAAGATATCGAGTCTTTTTATATCGAATATCTTTATGACATAAAAATTGAGTTAATCAATACAGTGAGGGCTCAAAAAAGCATGTACATTTTTGTTTTTACGCATAAATGAATAATAAGGATACTCTGAAAATTTTCTTTCATATCGAACTTTGTAGAGCTTTTTTCACTGATCATTTTGGTGAAAAATTTTTTTTTATTTTCATTGAGTAATGACGATGTTATAGTCAAAATACGAAACACTGTAATATAAAGTAGGGAAAAAAAGTTTAGCACACTTTTAGTATTTGGCTAATTTTTACGTTATTTCACAACATCTGAAAGATGTTCTATATATATCATTCGACGTAGAATTTAATGGACTACATTTTGGTAACAAGCACTTATATTGCAGTTAATTAATTAATGGTTAATTAAATAATAATAATTAGCAATTAATTAATAAAAAAAATTTTAAATTCCAACTCTTTCATATGAAAGAGCATAAAAAACTGAACAAAACTCTATAATTACTATTTGGAAAGCAACGAATTTAGTGTGATTTTCAGAGTATGTTCAGATATAGTATGTATTACAGTGTTTAGTATTTTGACTATAACATCGTCATTATTCAATGAAAATCAAAAAAAAAGTTTTTTACCAAAATGACCATCGAAAAAAGCTCTACAAAGTTCGATATGAGAGAAAATTTTCAGAGTATTCTTATTATTCATTATGCGTAGAAACAAAAATGTACATGCTTTTTTGAGCCCTCGAGTTTGTTTTTCTTCATAATTATCAAAATTTGTATTTTCATTATTACGATGGAAAAGTACGTAAATTTCTATTACTACTGATACAAATAAACTTCAATATTAATCTCTCTTTTCTTCTCGTACTATTTATAGTTCTCTCTCTCTAGTTAACGATAATAATATTCTTTCTCAAAAGAAAATAGATTTCCGTTATGCATACAAAACTCTATGACTTGATGAGAAAAATTTTCTAATTCTTATTCTATCCTATAACTATATTTTTAAATATTCAATCCTTTTATATATATTTTTTAGAATTTTCTTACAAATCATAATGCAACAATGCGTGAATTACTTATTGAATGTTGTCGACGTCTTGATAAAAGAGAATTTACTTGTACTAATATTGATCGAAATCATACTGGTTAGTGATTATTTAATTTTTTTTTTTAAAGATAATTTATTTTTTTTTTTCTTTTGTTTATAGTTCCATCAACAAAAATTGTTTGTTATAAATGTGCTTTAAAAATTTTTAAAGAATTAGTTTTTCAATTTCGTATATCTATGAAACAAAATGATATATTACCAATAACAATGCGTAATCGTGAAAATTGTTATTATGGTAAACAATGTCGTACACAATATACGAAAGTTTCTCATGCACAAAAATATAATCATGCTTGTGAACAAACTAAATTTTGATCTTATTTTATTTTCTTGTTGTTTGTATTATATTAGATAAACGCAATAGTAATTGTTATATGTTATTCACCTTTTTTTTTGTTTTATTTGTTAGAAAAATGAAATAGAATTGATTCCATGAAGAAAAAATTTCTTGACATTTGTTTTTTTTTACAGATGTCGATTTTAAATTCTAATTTACAAGTACCAATATTCTATCCAACATATGAAGAATTTGAAAATTTTTCATCATATGTATCAAAAATCGAATCACAAGATGCACATAAAATTGGTTTAGCAAAAATTATACCACCAAAACAATGGATATCAAGAAAAATGGGTTATAAACAAAAAGAAATTGATGATACAATGGTATATAATCCAATAAAACAAGAAGTACATGGAAAAGATGGTCTATATTTAGTATATAATATTCAACAAAAATCAATTAAATTAAATCAATTTCAAAAATTAGCATCAACTACTCGATATGCAACACCATCATCTATTTCACATGATGTTGAAAAATTAGAAAAAAAATATTGGGAAAATTTAACATCAACATCACCAATTTATGGAGCTGGTAGGTTATTTATAAAATAATAATCAAACAATATTGTTTGATATCTTTTAAATGATATTTTTCTAAAGATCTGAATTTTTTATGAGATATTACTATGAAATGATCTTAGGCAGGGTCCGGAGATGTCCATTGCGGTTGAAAACTGACCGCTGCCGCGACGCCACCAAAAATAACCATGCCGCGATGATTGTTAGAATAATGTTGTGAATTTTACGATCTGTGACTGTTCAGGACTAGAACTGTTGCTACCAATCGATAAGATTCGTTGAATCTCATAGTTTTGCACTTGTAAACATTGAAATTCTGTTCGAATCATGCATTTTTGCATTGTTCTCCAAAAAAACCTACCGCTACCGCGCCGCTGCCGCGCCGCGATGGACATCTCTGGCAGGGTCATTAATGGCTATTTATCTCGAATCATTTCGTTGGATAGTATGTCATACATTTGTTCATGAGGCTTGTATAATAGAATGATCTGTGAAGAAAATATAGATGAATGAGAAGATTTTCTTAAATGAAAAAATTGTATTACCATGAAAATTTAGAATTATACATGAAGAGTTATGATCGTTTTAAAAAACTTTTATTAATAAGTAAGATATCTATGATAAATTCAAAAT